GGCTGGAAAAAATAAAAATTGAGTTAATGCTAAATCTGAACATATTTTGACTTAAAAATCATATTTGGCATATAAAATTAAAATTGATTTTTTCCGGCAGTTTCCCCCCTTTCTATTGCAAAGGTCCCATATCTCTATAAAATTAACTTTACTAGTGTTATTGCTATTTATGAAGTCTGATGTCCTAATAATATTTGTAATATTTGTCGCTTGAGCATACTCTATCAATTGTAAATCATTTTAAAAAAGGAGGTTTGTAACTTTTTGATTATTTATCGAAATAAGAAACTCTATGATACCTTTCAGCCAATCAGATTATACAGTATATTGGTCTATTAATTGGCGTGCTTGAGAACGCTCTTAATATCTCATATGGTTATAAATATAGGATCAAAACTTTTGTATTTAAGCTATTATAAGATCGTTGATAAAGTTAAATATTGAAAAGTAAAAGGGTATTACATAAAGTATGGATTCGAATGTATTTTTTTATACTATACTATGTAGGTTGCTATATACCCGCGAAAACGATCGATTAGTACCTTGAAATATAATTTTATTAATTCATAAACATGTAGATTATTATCATCACACCTTTACAAATTCCAAATCCAATGCTATCAATCATATTTTTTATTTATAAGCAAAAGTAAATAAAGTAATGTTTGTTTTGATTTTAAAAAAAAATTGCTTATTTATTTATTTTATTTTTGTAGGAATCCAACTTAATAAATAAATTTTCTTTTTGAACAAATTATTGTAAAATTTGAATTTCACGTGACATCGTAGATTGAATTTCTTTTTAACATGAATTTCTAAATTTTGATCTGATTCCAACATCGCTACTTAAATAAAATCTAATCTATTTTCCACCACGATAGATAAATTCCCATGGAGTTGAATCCAATAGAATGGATGTGATACTTCAAAAATTAATCCAAACTACCGAAGAATCTTGAGAACACTTTGACGTTTTGATAACAAGGATGACTATTTTGTTTTTATTCGGACCGTAAAGAAATTTCTAACGGAAATTAATATGAATGTCATAAATTATAATCTTTATGAAAATTCTAGATCTCCAATTAGGTGCAATACGCCAATAATGATCTGTTAACGTGGAATGGCGCCACAAATTATGATAATTTCCAAATTCTCCTTCATACAGATATGCGAAAATACCCATCATCATTATTTTATTTTTTATTTTGATGATCCACAATTTCAATAAATATAAAAATGGAAGAAAGTTCTATAAACTATAACTCAAGCTAATTAAATATACTTGGAAGCGTTTTATTTGAAATATAGGCTTCTATTGATTATTCATTTATTTAACAATTGAAACATTCTCTGTGATCATTTTTTTTTTTTTTTTTGTTCGTTCTGAACGACGGTGGCGGATTAAATATAATTTGACTTTTTTTTTTTTTAAACAATAAATCAAAATTAAATTGATGAATAAAATGTTTGTAAACGACTATCCACGCTCTGTTTATAGAAAGAAGTGTTATGATTAAGACTTTGTGGAAATGTTTAATAAACGTTCATGAAACAAGCTTTATATGGTATACTCGACTGGAAGTGTATTTTCAAATCAATGGGATCCACCACTCAAACTGAAAGCATCTGACGAAAGAAATTCATCGAAAAATAATATATTTTATTGATTTTGTTTTATTCTTTTTTTGGAGAAATAAGCAATCTAAAGGTAGATTTTTTTTTTTTGGATTTTGTTAAGATTTTAATTACAAAACTAGAAAATAGATCAATTAGTTTAATGTAAATTTGCTTTTTTCTTTTTAATTAAGAAGGTAGTTTTTTTTTTTTTAAAGCAGTGCGTCACATTTAGGTTAATTCATGTGAGAATTTCTTGTCATCCTATTTTAATGTATTTAATTTCCTCAACCTTTAATTAAGAAAGACACTATACATTCGAATATGTTGATTATTCACAAGAATACGAATTGATATGGGTCAATACGGAAAAACTGCCGGGAATAATAAAAAATTATTTACTTACTATTCGCGAAGGGCCCTTACAATCTTATTGATTGTTAATATGGAAAATCTTTAAAAGGTATTGTATTTGCATCCAATCCTAAAGAATATAATTTAGGCGGGGAAATAATTTAAAATCACAACAAAAAAAAAAAAAAAAAAAAAAAATTAACCAACTCTCGTTCAGATTTATGATCGATCATGTTGGAACTTTATATTGAAACATAAAACTTTAGAGTTCTGCCTCGTTTAATTTTATTAAGAAATAGAAATTTCACAAACTTTATTTGTTTGGCTTGATAATCAATATTTTAAAATGCACCTTTTGCGGAGCAACGCATTCGAATCATTTCTGTGCAAATATACTAAAACATAAAAGGAGAATTTATAATTGGTACCGAAATTTGTAAATTTAAATGTTGAACGTTGATGTACAAAAAAATTAAAAAATTAGCAACGTAATTTGCTGCGCCCCACATTTCATTCATGATTGACGCTATTGTTTAGGTGCATACAATCAAATCACCTTATATAGAAAGTCGTAATAAAATTACCGTATTTTATAATATGACGTTAAAATTTATCATTGAAAAAAATTTAAAGTTGGAAAATTGGATAAAACAAGTTAGACATTTCTTAAGACGATGAATTAACACATGCAAGGAAAAGTTCTTAATAAGAAAAAATGGGCTGAAATTTACCTTTTATAATGAAAAAATTTTTCGACTTTGGAGCAATCATCCTACCCTTATCTAAAATTTACATTTCACCTAGAACTTCTAAATAATCGTAAATTTAAAGAGAAATTATTCGTAAAATGGTTACAACAAATAAACCAGAGCAAAGGAAAAAGAAAAATGATGATGAAAATCAATTGCAACTCTACTCTTTGTTGAATGAAATAGGTTGTAAGGATTTAGATCATTTAAGAGAATTATTAGCGGGGCAGAAACTTACAAAGATATTAGCAGAATTAGATGACCGAAGGAAAAATGTTAAAAACTTAAATTTTGATTTAACAAAAAAAAGTGAGGAATTATCAAGGTTGAGTTTTCAAATAAAATATTTAGAAGAACATTTCAAAGAGCGAGAACAAGTAATCAAAGTCGAACAGCAAGAAACTATTAACGTTTTAGAAGGAAAGATTAAAGAACGAGAAGACGCAGCTAAATCTAAGCAAGAAACGATTATTAACTTGGAAAAAAAAATTAGAGATCAAGAAGAAAAAATCGAAGCGCTGGCACTAGGTATCAATTATGATGATGCTATCAATAGTTTAGATATTACAGGAACCAATAAAGATGACATATCAAACACAACGGGAGGATTACAAAGATATCGAAAATTAAGAACTCTCAACTATTCATACACTCAAATAACTTGCCTGCCAAATTTACCTAAATCCTTGGCAACTCTTTATTGCAGCAGTACTAAAATAACCAGCTTACCGACATTACCGAACACTCTAGAGGAACTTTATTGTTATAGAACTCAAATAAATAGTTTACCGACTTTACCTTTTACTTTAAAAGTACTCTATTGCTACAATACTCAGATAACTAGCTTGTCAAATTTACCCGGTTCCTTGAAAACCCTTCACTGTTCCGATACTCAAATATCTAGCTTGCCGACCTTACCTAAATCTTTAAAAGAACTCTATTGCTATAATACTCGGATAACTTGCTTACCTACTTTACCTAATTCCTTAACAACCCTTCACTGCTCTAATACTCAGTTAGTTACCTTACCAACCTTACCCAATTTTTTAAAAGAACTTTATTGCAATAGCATTCCAATAACCAACCTGCTAACTTTACCCAGCTCATTAACAACCCTTCACTGCTCCAATACTCAGATAGTTACCTTACCATACTTACCTAACTTTATAAAAGAATTTCATTGCAATGGAACTCCGATAACCAAATTGCCAACTTTGCCAAACTCCCTATCAATTCTTAATTGCAAAGATACTCCTATAATTAGTTTGCCACCTTTACCCAACTTTTTAGAAGAG